ATAGAGTTTAGATTCTGAGATGGTGTGAAAGGGCTGCTTGGTTTGGTTTGGTATTTCTTGGAAGTGTCTTCATATGGATAGGAAGGAATGAAGCATGGGCATAGAAAACGCCTTGGTTGAGAGACAGGGAGATTGGCTGTCCTGTTTGAGGTCAGCAGGAGGGAAGAGCCCTCCAAAGAAAGGAGAAGTAGGAACTTTTCAAAAGGCACAGTGCAGCTACCAGATTTCTGATTTTCTTTTCTCCTCTGCATCTTGCCAGGTATGACGAAGTCTCTCACCTTTAACTGGCAGCGTTTCTTCACTTGGTTTCAAGATTTGGTTCAGTTCTGAAAAATCTGCAAAACCCCCCTTGATTTGAATGGTTCTGCTTTGCATTTTGGCATTCAAGCATCAGCATTTTCAGTCTGGCCCTGCCAGTCACATGCAACACAACATAAAGAAAGCAAGCACTTTGCCAGAAAGCCAAGTGGTTTTGATATCCCCTTCCTTCAATCTGGAAAGACAGTAGCTTGTGTGACTCCTTCTCTGGGAAAAGTATTCTGTGTGGGGAGGGTGGGAACAGCATTTTGATCCTGGGGAAAAAAATTCTACAAGTCTTTAGAGGATTTGCTTTATCCTTGGGAGAAAGCACGTTGCTGCTGTCAAAAACTGTGAAAGTTATAGAATGTGTCACATAGCCACATAAACCTTTTGTGCCTGCCCGTGGAGGACCTACTGAGGAACCACTAGTGAGATTCTTCATGAAAAGCCCTTTAAACATGAGGTTCTTCTGCTCTCTTTTATGTAGAATACCCTCATTTAGCCCCAAGTGGATGAGTTACAGTAGCTTATTTAGACCATGTTAGAAAATCTCAGCATTTCCTCAGCTTTTCCCCCCAATTTTCATTTTCTCAAGCAATCATTTAGCCCACAGACTTGGATGCTGCAGGGTTTCTAATTCATCCACTGTAAGGCACACATTCAACACACATTCCCATGAAATTTCCTTAGTAGATTCATGCCAGTAAAAAAAAAAAAAACAACAAAACCAAACCCCAGTGTTCCATGATGCACAGTAGAATTAATGTGTTATTGTAAGTTGAGAAAAAACCAATCCAGCCACACTTCTTGAAGATAAAATTACTGAGGCTCTGAAAATTAATTTCCTGTTTAGCAGTAAAATAATTAAAGACTGGAGTTGCTCATGAGATTATAAGGCTGTCTACAGGTTCTGTCTGTGAACAGGCCTTCAAGCAAAATGCCCTGCAGAGACATTTTTTGTCACTTAGACAGTTTCTTACAAACAGAGATGTAAAGTAATCACAGTGTAAAGTAATGCACACTAAACAATAGAATGATTGGTATAATTGCCTGAAAGTGGATGGCTGTTCTTAAATGATCACAACGTTGCAAACCTCTGAGGCAGAACATTTCTGTATTTGTACTTTGTGTGCAGAGCTTGGAAAATGTTTTTTTTCAACATTTTCACTGTCATCATCCACCATCTGTCCACAATCTAGAGCCTTCCCAAAGGGCTGGGAGGCTTCAGGATACATGGGAATGATACCCTGCTTCTGCATTATTCTGTAGGGACAGAAACACCAGAGCAGCAGGAAATAAATTCTTGTTCTAGAAAGGAGACACACCTGTTTTTGAAGAAATCTCTCCATTTGAAAATCTATTTGGACTAGGGCTAATCTGCCTGGGATGGCTGAAGTATCCTTAGATACATCTGTCTCTCTTGCCTCTCTAAAAACTCCAATTTTATGCATTGATAGGCCCACTATTTATTATTTGTGCTGCTGCAGAACATGAACCAGGTCTCATAAAGCACTGAGTGGTTGCCTAGAAGAGGAGCCAGGAAGCCAAGCCAGAATGTACAGGAAACTCAGAAAGGAATTTTGGTTTCATCTTTTACTTGCCAGATCTGACATTGATGGGTTTTGGCATTTTCATATTCTCCACACCTCCAATTCTGTACCAGAAATTTTGTTATATAATCAATGAGGAAAGACAGAAGTTTCTCCAGTGGTAGTGAAGAAAAGGATCCTAAGCTTGAGTGTTTCTCTGCTCCGTGGAAGAAAATCTGTCTCTCTCTGCTAAGCATTTAGGAGGACTAAGAAAGCCAAACCCCATCATACAAACACTGTTCTATCTCCTGTGGGTCCTGTATCCCTACTTCTGAAATAGGAATTAATGCTCATTTTCTTCACAGAGAATAGACTAGGAGGTACCCATATAAATTCATGGTAGGACCACTAAAATACAGCTCTATATACAAAATATTTGTATAATATATTGCTGCTTATTTGCTTTTCAGCATCTAAAATGAAGTTTTTGTTGTTGTGTCTAACAGCTATTAGGATACTAGAACTGCTAAATTTAAACATTTCTCGCTTTTCACAGGAAAAAAATAAAGAAGATTGAAATATTTTTCCTTGTAAGGAGTTAGAGAGTTTAGAAGCAAAAAGAAAATGTAGAAGAAATAACATAACTGAGTCAGTTCAGGTTCCTAGACTATACTTATTTCTCTGCACAAAGCAGGAACGATAAGAATGGATAAAGGAGTTCTTCCATATGAACGAGAAAGTGGAGCTAACAGCAAATGAGAAAAAACAGATTATGCTTTGCAGATTGTAGGAGACAAGCAAGAAAAAATATTCAGTGTTTTGACATTGACTTTAAGGGGATTGAGCAAGGCTGCAGTTTGGTTACCTGTAAATAGCAGGGGTTGAGTGAAGGTGGTCATGGTTCTTGCAGATTCAGAACAGGCAGTGCCAAGAATGGCCAAGAAAATAATGAAATACGTAGCAATGAGACCTTTAATACACCTGGATGTGCACAATCCCTTATTTTGTAGGCAACCTGGGTAGCTTCAGCACAGTGAAAATGTCTTTAGGGATCTGCTGGGGGACTGTATTTAAAAGAGATCCTATAGATGGTTTAAGTATTACTTACTCCTGGTGCTGTTGCTGATATTTTTGGTCAGACCCTTTCTAGGGGTAGGTGGTGCTCAGACTTGCCCTGCTGAGGATCGGGTGACTCATGTGATAAAACACAACAATCTGAGATGACTTGTAAAGTCATTAATTTTTTTTGATGATGTCTATGCTGAAACGGGACTAATGGTGATGCAAACACTATCTTGACTTTCGGCCACACAGTTTTTATTCAGTCCTCATCTTCCTCAAATGTGCCTCAATTCTCTTCTCTACCTTTGCTGAAAAATGAGATTATTCAGGCATTGCCCCTTTCAGTGGCCTCCATAGAAATCACTTATCTGCACAATGAATTGCTTAGCCCAAGTGACAAGTTTTAGAGGCTGGGCAGAGCACCTTTCCATTCACTCCTCTAGCACAATCCTTTTTATCAGCACCCTCCAGGCTTGCTTCACTCTCTGTTTGTGGCAGATAACAAATCGAGCAAATTTTTTTTGAAGAATATTTTCTATTTAACAAACCGTGGTTTCTGTCTGTTGTTAATCTCCTGAGCAAGGGGGTGACTTTCTAGGTGGTGGAACAGCCATTAAACTGATAAATCAAAAGTTTTAGGACATTTCACATTTTCTTTTCTCAGCTGCCCAGGTTACTTTGAACTTGGACGAGGATTCTCTTACCAGCTGCCCACCACTCCCTGGTTCAGCCACAGGTACTGTGATATGTCTGAGGTAGTCTTGGCTCTTTCATGGGTTTTTTGTACTACAAGAAAACTTTAGAATTCAAAGGCTCAGTCTTCAATAACCACCTTCAAAATCCTGAGGAAGACTGAGGAAAACCTGTGACTGGAATCACAACTCACAGAGCCCAGTTTGTTTGGGGAAAGACTCTGAAATTCTTGTTGCAGAGGGATCTGACCACTGTTTTCATTTCCATATGCATATTCATTTATATGCACAAATAAAACAAATAACTCACTCTGTTTATTTACACACAGTACTTGCCAGCTGATCTGTTGTTTTCTCTGTTTTGAAGGCTGCAAGGCTTGTTATTTGATCTCTAGGAACAGTCTGCCTTGAGAAGGCAGCTTCGCTTTTCATCTCCTGGGAGGCAGTGCTTAATTCAAATCAGATTATAAAAAATAGTAGCAACTTGCCAGAAAAAAAAAAAGTAGCCATTAATAACTGGCAGGAAGGAGAGAGAACATCCTTTGAAGACAATTTATCCTTTAATTCACAGACTAATGCACGTTTTCTGTACCTATGATGTATCTGAGAGCTGGTGTGTCACAGCTGTGTCACCTGCAGGTGACTGCGAGGGGGGATTCCTGTCAGTTTATAGTTCAGGCAACTGCTGATGTGAAGCTGTCAAATATCACAACTCTAAAATGTCTGAAAGCTAATCAGCCTACCAAGTGCAGATTCTTCCTTCTTTCACACATAAACATCACTTCAAATTAGATTAGCAAGTGTAGAGATGAGTGGATAATTTATAATGAACAATTAGTCTAATAGTGTCAGCTTCTGTTATGAGCTGAGGATGAAATGCTAAGACTGGATGTCTGAAATAATTTATATATTTCTGGTAGACATTTTTCCATGTGAATGTCCTGTGAGTAATTCATTGTGAAATGTTGAGCTTCAGCCATGGTGATGGTTGCTAAGTTATAGAAGTCATTGGGATTGTTTATGTTTCTCTAATTAGATTATTTGTGAGTCCAGACAAAACACTGTGAATTAAAATTTTTAGAACTGAAAACATCATGACAATAGAATAATAGCTGGAAACTACCCGAACATTTGAACACAATATATTTGGCATTAAAGCAAAACCATTTCAATAACTGGAAAATTAATACAGAAGACCCATACCCATCATTATATCGACCTTATTTTCCAACTAGGAGGCTATTTAATGGAAATTGCTTTATTCCTCCAGATTAACAGAACTTCTTTTAGTGTCTGCATTTAATTTCTCTGTTGCTCATGGAGGTGTATTCCATTAAATAACTGTTCACTTGTGAAGTTTGCCAAGGTCCCAGACAGTGACAAAAAACCCTGTCTGAAATGAAATTTAAATACTTACATCGATGTCACCAGCACTGTGATTTCATCCTTTGTTCAGAGTGCCTTCATATCACAGGAGAATCATGTCTGGATCTAGGTTTGATGCTGCTATGCAAAATATTGGGATTTCTGAAAGTGAAAAGAGAAAAGTAGAGTGAGTAAAGGCCAGTGGAAGAGTTGTTAAAGGTTCCCAGGTGTCCTGCAGTGCCAGTGTCAGGTGGCAGTGATTGAATCCACCTGGGTGGTGGCTCCAGCTGCTTGGAGTCAGAAATTTATCCCACTGAAAATTCCTGACTGTACATCTGAGCCTGTCTGCTGCTTTACCACCTTCACCTCATGCAGTTTTAAAAAGACTGGCTTCCCTTCACTTGGTAGTTCAGCACTGGCCTCTGTGTCAGGTGTGCTCCCAGATCATTGATAAGGGAGTTTTCCCTAGGATGTTTCTCTTCTGCATGTCTGAAGGGATGACAAAGGCTCTCTCAGCATTTGGGCATCCTTCCCCTGTGTAATGTGCCAAATCCATGGCAATGAGACTTTTTACCCAAAGGGTTTTGTTGCACCCAAAACCTATCATGGTCAATTATTTACCTGTGCCATTGAGAGTGGATCCTGAGCACTGGAGTAGATTCTTTTACCCTGCTTTTTTTTTTTTTTTTATTTTTTTTTTTTTTTTTTTATTTTATTCACCATTTTTTTTTTTTTGACATCTCAGCCCCAGCAGCCCCAGGGGACAGGACAGAGAGACGAGGAGTGGAAGTGCCCTTTGACTAAGCGGGCATTAAATGTTGGCTAACAACCGAGANTTTTTTTTTTTAATTTTGTAATCAAACCAACAATTTTTTCTTATGTGTTTTGTAAAGGGTTTTTTTTTTTTGTGAATCCTAGCATTCTGGTAATAAAGGGCATCCATATGCTCAGAAAGAAATGAATCCTTTTTCCTTTGCTTTGGCCACAGCACTGTAGCAGCAGCATTTCTAAAAAGCAGTGAAATGCTGAGAAGGAAAGGAATGATAATTCACAGGTCCTCACAGCTCATGGGGTGGTTTTCATCTATCATCACCCCAAGTTCTCTCAGGATTTCCCTGTCCAGGTCCCTCTGGATCCATCCCTTCCCTCCAGCCTGTTGTTGCACCCCACAGCTCGATGTCATCAGTGAACTTGCAGAGGATTGCCTCAATCCCGCTGTCCATGTCACCAGCAAAAATGTTGAACAGTCTCACGTGGATCTTGTCCCAGACTCTCAGGTTCATGTTCTGATTTGGGGCATTAATTTCTCCTTCCTGGGTCAGCTCTGTGCGTCAGTGGTGAGGTCAGGCTCCAAACCTGCCTGCAGTCATTAGCTCACCACACAAAGCATCACACAGGATGGATGAATTCCACAAGAGTTGAGATCTGGTTTGACTCTACTCCTGATTAGGCATACCAAGGCAAATTCCATATTAAGCATAACATTCAGGTGCATCTCTAAGTACTTTCTGTACCAGTTGTTAACTATCTGAGCTTATGGTTTTACAAATCCAGCAGATAATTCAAGCTGCCAGGAGCTTCAGGAATCCCTTGTAGCAGGAGCTGTTAGAAAGTCAGAAAATTAATGTTGCTTTTCAAAGATAATTAAAACTTTTCAGCGGCCTTCATAAAATATTCAGGAGAGCCCAACAGAGATTTAAATTAAAGCACATTGCACACGTTTTAGTGGTTATCACCTGTAACATGGCTGCCTCCATCACAGATGTAATGGCATTTTGGGGAACTCTCTTTCCTGGGGTTGCTCTGTAATTGGCTCCTGCACCTTGTCCTCAATGTGGTTTGGGCAGATGCAGACCCTCTTTAACCAAATCTTGTGTTGATACTGTTTGTAGGAGATTTTGTCTTGTGATACAGGGGCAGCAGGTTGGCCTTGCTGCTGTGCTTCCCAGGTTCTCCATGGGTGGGGATGTCCTCATCCTCACCAGAGTGCACTGGGAGGGAGCAGGGATGCAGGATGGACAGAGTAGTTGTTGTCATTCCCACAAATTCCTGAAGCCTCTTGTACAAAACCACAAAAGGCAGTTTTAAATAAATTCCTGGAATCCTAGAATCACAGACTGGTTTGGGTTGGGAGGGACCTTAAAGGTCATCCAATCCCACCCACTGATATGGACAGGGACACCTTCCACTATCCCAGGTTGCTCAGAGCCCCATCCAAGCTGACTCTGAACCATTCCAGGGATGGATGCTTTTCTGCACAGCAAGCATCAGGAGTGTATCAAATGTAGTCTGTTTTGGAATATCCATGAGTCTTCTCATAAGGATACCTGAATACTACCCAATCCCTACAGAACCAAATCTCAACAAAGCCTGTGAGAATTGAGATAGTGTAATGCATTTTGTACAGATGAGAAACACAGTAGGTTAATTCTAAATTCCCTACAGCAAATTACCTCAAAATCATGCAGCAATGGATGTTATTTTCACTAACATTGTTATTGAAGCATCTCTTTGAGACCAGTGCATCATAGAGGCACCAGGAGATCACATAATGAGTGTGAAGACACAATACACAGCTCCACACATGATTTTGTCTGTGTGCTTCTATCCCAGAATCAGGAAAAGAGCACATTCCCACTCCAGTCTGTCAACAAAGGTACCAGAGATGCCTGTTGGCATTTTCAGATGGCAGCATGTGTCCAGTGGGGATCCATGGGCATCATTTCGTGCTTCCAGGTGGTTTTGTTTGTTCATGTCAAGGCTGAAGCTGTAGAGGCAGAAATTGAGTCAGTGTTCCCTTTTGACCATAGTTTATTTCTTGGGTGAAATAAATTTCTTTCACTTATTTGCTGGAAAGGTAAAACAACCAAGGGTCATTTGGGGATTTTTTTTTTTTTTCCAGTTTGCTTTTACAGCATCCTCCTGATGGTAAAATATTGATTTAGGGGATATGAAGTGATAGCCTGCTGCAAAGAAACAGCATCATTCTTTCAATGCAAAAGCTGTAAAAGCAAAAATTGTTACTCTTCCGCTTATAAAATGCGAGATAATTCCTTCTGTAAAAACACCTCACATCAGGTTCCTGTGGCTTTCCCCATTCAATCTGAATTTCTAAGCACTAAAGAAATCTCATTATTGAGAAATAAACTAGCAGCTCCCTGGCAAAATGGGCACAGCAGTGTAAAATAGAACCTGTTCCACATTCAGCAGCCAGTTTGAGAATATGCTCATCACTTATCCATGAGGCTCGTGATGCTTAAATGCCACATACAACAGAGCTCCTGATCTGGCAGCCCTTCTGCTTCCCCTTTTTGCCTTTCATAAAGCAAAGATTAAAAGGCTTACAGGAGCTATTACTTTGAAAGTCATGTTTCTCCCAAGTGTCCCTTGCAATGACACGGGGAAGATGAATTCTATGAGAATACTTAACTCAGTGGGCTTGGATGTTTAGCTTTCAGCAACCCTAAAAAATGTTTAAATATGTCTCTACACTCTGAGGTTTTCTTCTTGATACCATGCCAGCCATTTTAGCTTTCCATTCATCCCCACTTCCCTTTTCAGTTTTTTTTTAAACTTTTTTCCTGTTCTTTCTCTCAATTTCCCCAATGTGTGCTTTAACCCATCTCACTCACCTCAGATTGCAATCAGATCTTCCTTTTATCCACACTCCAGCATCATCCCAGTGTTATTTTGATCATTCAAATCAGAAGAATTTAAAGATTCTGCTTTGATTTTTCTCTCAGTCTAATTTGGTTTAGACTTGGTTTTAAATGTTGATTTGTAGAAGGGTTGTAAATAGCATTAGAAAAGGTTCTTTCAAGGCATTCAGTTATTTTTTTCTGTTGCATAAGTGGTCTAGCATAAGGGGAGTCAGAAAGTAAGTGGATGGGGAATTCCTGAGACCTGTAGAACAAAGGTATCTAAAGGGAGGTTACTTCAAAGGAAATGTGGGAAAAGACAAAACCTTGGGGAATATCATGAGGAATACCTTGCCCAATTTATTCTTACATACCTGCAGTTCTGTACACAGAAGAACCCTGCAGCAGGCACATGGGGGCATCCCCTTGCTAAGACTTCACTGAGACCCCTGATGGGGAAGAGGAAGGAGTATGTTAGAAATGGGTCAGGACTTTTGGGCTGCACAGAAATATCTGTTTAAAATATTGAAGAATGTCTGCTGCATTGATGGTATGGCTCAGTGAGGGAGGTGATCATAGTTGTATTTTCAGACAAACCAAATTAAGGGAGAGGGTCTGTGCCTATGGAGGAGCTGTAGGTCAGCAGCTGGTGAGAGGAGATAGGAAATGCTTTTTGCTCTGAGCAGTTTTACAGGTGTAAAAGCTCTGGGGAGAGACATAGAACAGGAGCCTTATTTGGTCCTCCATGCCAAATTCAGTTTTTCTTTCTGCCAGAGACATCTGAGAGCTTTCCTGCTTTCTGTCCCCTTCCACATGAACACACATGAACACACTCATTCTCTCCCTTCCAGGCTTCCACAGACCTTTGAAGGCTTTACTTATCTGTGTACTTTCAGAACTGACACTAAAACAGTTCTGACACCTGAAAGCATATTCAGTTTGTTGCATTATAATTTTTACCTTTTGCTGCTCACTGCTGTTCCCTGAAAGCAGCATACAAGTGCTTACCCCTTAAAAGATATATTTCTGCTAAGGATGTAGACATATTCAGGTGGAAATTGTGAGTTATTAGTGATTAGTGATAAATGTCCCACTCTGTAAAGGTGTTTTTCCCCGCAGGAGATGATGCAGTGACACCCTGTCTGTGTACTTCTTGAAAATTATGTGCAGAGCCTGTGTCTGTGTGTTCAGAGAAAGCATTGGGATATTTGGGAATCATGAATGAGTCCCAGGAATTTTCCCTGAGGGTCAGTGAGGCTGAACAGGATAACATTATTCAGATACCTTCTAGGAGAGGAAAAGGTTCCTTGAGGATGATACTTGAATTCATTGTCTCCTAACAGGGTCAAGGAAACACTTTGTTCTCTAGGCTGATATGCTAAAAGGCTTTTTTGCTCTTGGTAAAATTTGTCATTTGTGCTTTCCTTTGCTTTTCTATTTATAGAATCAGACCTTATCTGCACTCCCATTTATGGGATGGTGGACTAGATGGTCTCATAAAATTTATTTTATTTTTATAAAATT